AGTGTGTATGTGTGTGTAAGAGAGAGTGTGTGCGTGAGAGTGTGTATGTGTGTGAGAGAGTGTGTATGTGTGTGAGAGAGTGTGTGTGTGAGAGAGTGTGTATGTGTGTGAGAGAGTGTGTGTGTGAGAGTGTGTTGTGAGTGAGTGAGTGTGTGTGTGTTTGTAAGAGAGAGTGTGTATGTGTGTGAGAGAGTGTGTGTGTAAGAGAGAGTGTGTATGTGTGTGAGAGAGTGTGTGTGTGAGAGTGTGTGAGTGAGTAAGTGTGTGTGTGTGTGTAAGAGAGAGTGTGTGCGTGAGAGTGTGTATGTGTGTGTAAGAGAGAGTGTGTGGCGTGAGAGTGTGTATGTGTGTGAGAGAGTGTATGTGTGTGAGAGAGTGTGTGTGTGAGAGTGTGTGTGAGTGAGTGAGTGTGTGTGTGTGTGTAAGAGAGAGTGTGTGCGTGAGAGTGTGTATGTTGCATTTTTCAAAGGTCACGAACATCAGAGCATCCTAAAAATAGAGTAGAAACACAAGGCCAGAGCTAAAGGTCAGAGGTCGACCTCACAGCGCGTGTGTGTGTGTGTGTGTGTGTGTAAATGTGCAGTATAATTTTCATTTATCAGTGTGTAAATTAGGTGTTGGTAAAACACACAGGAGGATGATGAGATTTAGGCTTCTGTGGCTCTGATTGGCTGACAGGCCCTGCTCTAAACCTCGGGCTCTGATTGGCTGACAGGCCTGTCACTCACCCGGCATGATGCTGGACCCGGGCTCGTTCTCGGGCAGCACGAGTTCTCCGAGACCCGACCGAGGTCCCGACCCCAGGAAGCGGATGTCGTTGGCGATCTTCATCAGGCTCACGGCCACAGTGTTCAGAGAGCCGCTCAGCTCCACCAGTGCATCATGGGCCGCCAGAGCCTCGAACTTGTTCTCCGCCGTCACAAACGGCAGTCCTGCACACGAGCAGAGCAGAGCCTCACTGATCCAGCACTGATGACACGTGTCTCCAGCATCAGATCCTCATATTAGAGGGATTTCTGAAGGATCATGTGACACTGAAGACTGGAGTAATGATGCTGGTGTGTGTGTGTGTGTGTGTGTGTGTTACCTGTGAGTGCAGACACTTTATCCGCCACTTTCTCAGCGAAGCCGATGCGTGTGTTGAGGCCGGTTCCCACCGCAGTGCCGCCGGCTGCGAGCTCATACACACGCGGCATCGCGGCCTTCACTCGCTCGATGCTGTACTTCACCTGCTGCACGTACCCGCCAAACTCCTGCACACACACACACACACACACGCAACAAAGAAGACTTATCTGTAAGTCAAATGTATCAAACGAGACTGACTCAGAAAACAATGAACGCGTGTCACCTGATCACACATGCACACCTTCTTCGTTGCATGCACAAATGATGATACACTAATACAAAAGAACACACACGCGTTACACACACACGTGTATTCACAAAAATGTCTCTATTTGTACAAATTGCTAGCCTGGTTAAAACCAGAGCACTCTTAATTGTAGTTCTTTGACTAAAAGGAAACGTTCAAACCGCTTAAAACAGACGCGATAGCTGATTGGAACGAGTGATGTTCGACGCCGGCATCCATCTCTGTAATGTAGGCTACTTTTTACAATCTGCTTCAAAACCCCAGCGCTGTCGTCATCGTGTAAAGCCCGGCCCAACGCTTCTGATTGGTGCCTCGATTTCGGCGGATTGGAAATGGGCTTGAATGAGCTCTTTGCCAGACTAACTTTCAGAGCAAATCTAAATTTGCCGGACGTTGTCTGGGTTTTTCCCAGGCTAGCAAATTGCAGCACATTCATTTAATTCTGAATTTTGCACACGCAAGTTGACAGGCATTGGTTGTGGATAGTAACACATTTCTGCAACATTACCAAGTTCATGGAGAATTTGCAATTGCATGCAATTTTTAATCATTTTAAAACTAAATTCATCCCATAGAAGGGATATATATATATTATATATGAATGTTGAGAAATCTAAACCTGTCCGAGAGAGAGCGGCACGGCGTCCTGAGTGTGTGTGCGGCCGATCTTGATGATGTCCTCTGAACTGCAGAGCTTTCTCGGCGAGAGCGTCGTGCAGCGCCTGAAGCCCCGGCAGCAGAACCTCGTGAACCTCTTTACCAGCGGCGATGTGCATAGCAGTGGGGAACGTGTCGTTCGAGCTCTGCAGACACAACAGTAGAGGAGGGAGTGAGTGAGTGTGTGTGTGTGTGTGTGTGTGTGTGTGTGTGTGTGTGTGTGTGTGTGTGTGTGTGTGTGTGTGTGTGTGTGTGAGTGAGTTGTGTGTGTGTGTGAGTGAGTGTGTGTGTGTGTGTGAGTGAGTGTGTGAGTGAGTGTGTGTGTGTGGAGTGAGTTGTGTGTGAGTGAGTGAGTGAGTGAGTGAGTGAGTGAGTGAGTGAGTGAGTGAGTGAGTGAGTGAGTGAGTGAGTGAGTGAGTGAGTGAGTGAGTGAGTGAGTGAGTGTGAGTGAGTGAGTGAGTGAGTGAGTGAGTGAGTGAGTGAGTGAGTGAGTGAGTGAGTGATTGAGTGAGTGTGAGTGAGTGAGTGAGTGAGTGAGTGAGTGAGTGAGTGAGTGAGTGAGTGAGTGAGTGAGTGAGTGAGTGAGTGAGTGGAGTGTGAGTGAGTGAGTGAGTGAGTGAGTGAGTGAGTGAGTGTGAGTGAGTGAGTGTGAGTGTGTGAGTGAGTGAGTGAGTGAGTGTGAGTGAGTGTGAGTGAGTGTGTGAGTGTGAGTGTGTGAGTGAGTGTGAGTGTGTGAGTGTGTGAGTGAGTGAGTGAGTGAGTGTGTGTGTGTGAGTGAGTGAGTGAGTGAGTGAGTGAGTGAGTGAGTGAGTGAGTGTGAGTGTGTGAGTGAGTGTGTGAGTGAGTGTGAGTGTGTGAGTGTGAGTGAGTGTGTGTGAGTGTGAGTGTGTGAGTGAGTGAGTGTGTGTGTGAGTGAGTGAGTGAGTGAGTGAGTGAGTGTGAGTGTGTGAGTGAGTGTGAGTGAGTGTGAGTGTGTGAGTGAGTGTGAGTGTGTGAGTGTGTGAGTGAGTGAGTGAGTGTGTGTGTGTGAGTGAGTGAGTGAGTGAGTGAGTGAGTGAGTGAGTGAGTGAGTGTGAGTGTGTGAGTGAGTGTGAGTGAGTGTGAGTGTGAGTGAGTGTGTGAGTGTGAGTGTGTGGAGTGTGTGAGTGTGTGAGTGAGTGAGTGAGTGTGTGTGTGTGAGTGAGTGAGTGAGTGAGTGAGTGAGTGAGTGAGTG